TGACGTCATTCAGCAGGATGCATTTAAAACTAGTCTGACACCATCATAGTGTTGGAAACATAAGCAGGAAATATCCGCAGGTCCTGAAACCATCTCAGTCTGTTACCATGGACTCCAGGATTTTACTTGTTCCAGCTGAACTGCAAGATCCGTTACTGAAGACAGATCTCCACTCTGATTGGTTGTTACCATCAAAACCAGTATTTCACCTGGTCTGGGTCCAGTTAAGGTCTTCTATCCTGTGCTTGCTCAGGATGTGAAACTGTGTTGAAGTGAAGATCCAACATAATCTGCTGTTTCCTTAGACAGAGAACTTTCACGAATAGTCTTTTTTTGTGTGTGAATGTTTCTGTTCAGTGCCCTGACACAACTTCTGCTGTGACTTGGAGCTATAGAAATAAACTGAGTTGAACCTTTTGCCATATTTCAAATAAAACGACACCTAAACAACACCTAGCACATCTAGCACAAAACCAAGAACATCTGAATTCTTGCTCTTAAAGATGTTTGTTAAAGTCAGACATGCAGCAGAGAGAAAAGAGATTATCCCTGTTACACACTTCAGATGTTCTCCTTCTTTTTTAATTATAGTGGTTGGTGGGGAATGGGTGTGTTGACATCTGCGATGGTTAATTTAGAAACAACCAAAACCAGAGCAGGTTAGGTTTTCATTTTACCCAGGTACAATGTGTACAAGTCTAAGTACCCTGAAAATCCTAGACTACTGTAAACCTGGTTACTTCGCTAAGCCATGAGTCCAGGGGAGTAATCCATGAATGACGTTCAACAAACTCAGTTTAAAGTCCATCTATTGTTTTTGTTTTTTTTACTCAGTTTAAAGTGTTTCTAGTTTTATTTTATAGTGCATAAATGACCTTGCACCTTCATACCTCTCTGACCTAACCATATGCTCCTTTTCGGGCGCTGACATCATTTGATCATCTGCTTTAGGTTGTACCAAAAACCAGTTTGAAGCTCAGAGGAGATTGGGCTTTTTCAGACATTGGCCCTAAACTTTGGAACAATCTGCCCCCCAACATTAGACAGACCACTTCACTCCCTGCTTTTAAATCTCTCATAAAAACACACCTGTTTAACACAGTGATTTGATTTAGTATTTCATTGTTTCTCATTGTTTTTGTGTTTTTTTATGCTTTTACTTTTCATACTTTTAATTATATCTTGTTATTTTCTTTATTTACTTCCTTGATTAGCACTTTGGTGACAGCTGCTGTTTTAAATGTGCTTTATAAATGAATTTGACTTAACTTATCCATAAACTCGGAGGCAGCAGTTAATGTACTCAGAGTTTCACTGAACTCGGGGTTAACCAACTCAAAGATGGAACTACACTCAGTTTCCTCCGAGCCGTTCCCTGCAGTGATGTCTGACATCATGTCTTCTTGTCTCCCAGCATCCTCTACAAGACCAAGCTGCCCTTCATTGTCGCCATGAACAAGGTCAGCTGTTTGTTGTTTTTTGTGTTGTTGTTGTCTGTTATTGAGTTACTTTATTTTATTTGTTAGTGCTTGTGATCAGGTTGTTGTTCATCTGTTGTTGTATTGTTTGTTTTGTTTAGCCTATTGTTTGTGTAGTTGTGTTCAGCCTGTTGTTGTCAGTTTTCAATCCATTTTAGTTTGTTTTTAGTCAGTTGTTTGTTTTCAATCATTTGTTGTATACATTGTTGTCTCCTATGCATGTTTATCCTGTTGCTGTTTGTGTTGTAGTTTTTGTCAAAGTATATTTGTTGTTTGTTGTTGACAGTGTTCTCTGAATCTTGCAGACAGACATCATCGACCACAGCTTTGCCGTGGAGTGGATGCAGGACTTTGAGGTCTTCCAGGACGCTCTGAACCAGGAGACGTCCTATGTGAGCAACCTGACCCGGTCCATGAGCCTGGTTCTGGATGAGTTCTACACAAACTTGAGGGTAAGACACCTCATGGTTCAAGGGCCTCACAAGGACCATGAACGTTGGTCTGCAGATAAATTGACATTTTCTTGCTTGCTCTCGGTGAAGGCAGACACTTCCTCCTCTGTTCCACCCCTGCTTTGCCCTTTGTCTTGTGAACCTTTTTCAGAGCCCCTTTTTGCATACCTTCTGAATTGTAAACTATGGATTTGTTCAGCTGGTCTGTCAACACTGTTGTTCAAATTTTTTCAACATGAAGATGGGGTGAAGGAGAACCCTCTTAGAAACATAATTGGATAACTGGATTCTGCTTTTTGGAGTTGGTGGAAATCTGGATTGTCGATGAATTCGGAAACGTCAGCAGCTGTTTAAGCTGTCTGGAATGTGTGTGCCGGGCTTGGCAACACTCAGACTCTGTGCGAACTATCTGTGGACCTGTAACAGAGCTGAGCAGGCAGGACTGTGGAACTTTGTGGTAGTGTTCACGGACGGTTGGAAGGAATAGATCTTGGAAAAGTTGTAAGTCTGACTTCAGTGTAAGTAATCACAATTCAGCTTTTTGAAGTCGTCATGAGATTTACTAGCGATACTGTAAAGGCAGACGTGGAAATTAATGAGCTTGGCCTGACCCAAAACAATGTTGAGATCTGAATCTGGCTCTGGCCTCGGAAGGCTGACTATTTCAATTTCTCCTTGGATGTTATGGAAACAAGATGCTCTGCTCCCCTCCTCAGCCCCTCCCCTCCACAAGGATGTGGACCTGTGTCAGAGCTCCACCAAGCTGGCTGATAAACAAACACCTCTTATCAGGACTATGGCTAAGAGGGGCTCTGGACTGTCCTGTGTCCTTCCCTCAAATTCATGCCTTCACTGGTTTCCCTCATTGCCTCCACTGGTGCAGCAACCTAGGAGATGCGAAGGCGCCAAAGGGCTGCGTCGCTCACCTGGCAGCAGTGCTGCGACCCTCACCCTCTACCCACTCCACACACATATATATTATGTCTATTTATGTTGAGTTTTGTTTTTGCTGAGATAGATTTTATTTGCTGCCTTACACCTGGGCAGCATGGTGGCACAGCTGGTAGTGCTGCTGCCTCTCAGCGAGATGGTTGCCGGTTCAAATCCCGGTCCGGGGGCCTTTATGGTTGGAGTTTGCATGTTCTCCGTGCATGCATGCATGGGTTTTCTCCGGGTACTCCGGTTTCTTCCCACAGACAAAGAACAGACTGATTGGTAACTCTAAATTGTCCCTAGGTGTGAGTGAGAGGGTGAATGATTGTTTGTCTCGTTTGTCTCTGTGTCCCTGTGATGGACTGGAGACCTGTCCAGGGTGTAACCCGCCCCTCACACAGCGATTGCTGGACATGGGCACTGGCGACTCCCGTGACCCAAAATGGAAGAAGCGGGTAAAAGATAATGGATGGATGTAGGGCTTGGCCATATCAAATCGCTCACGATAATACCAGTAAAAAAAAGCTTGCCCGGGCAAAAAAACGATATCATGATATGCTAATTTCATGACGTAATACGTCAGGGCGCCCCACCCTGTTAACAGAACCGAGCGTGCCGATCAAACAAACCGAACTGTGCACCCCCTCTACACCTGTCTGTACTGGTGTGATGCTAATTAGCTGTGTGCAATACTAGCTAGCTAAAATGCTAAAAACAAACAAATGCGCAGCTCATCTTTCTCTCCATCCAGCTCTAAACTGCAGGTACAGACAACTCAACTGTCTCTCCCTTCCCCTGCTCTAAGCTGCCACTCATCTTTCTTTTCTCTCCCCACTCCGCTCTGAGCTGCCGGTGCGGGCTGCGTCTCCCCCGCTCTAAACTGTCTGTACAAGCACACGCAGCTAAACTGTCTCCGTTCCACAGTTCATGGACCAAGAACAGAGTCAGGTGATCAGAGACAGAGCATCAGAGAAATTAATAATTCCTGCAGGAACAGAGGAAGATGAAACACTACAAGCTTCAGGGTCAGCTGATCACCTTGTTCTGGAAGTTAAAGCTCATTTAAAGGAAACGTATATTTGTTGTATGTTACATTTATGCTCAGCAGATCTTAAACTTCATTTTATTTAGTTATTTTGGGAAACTTCACCTGCACTTTAGTTTTTGTGGTGGATTTATTGATCTATTTGTGCAGACTTTTTCATCTAAATAACAGAAGGATCATTTTTATTTTTTATTTTTATACTTGGAGACTGAATACTTTACTAAATAAAGTCATTTCAGTAAAATTACTCGTTTTTTTTAAATTTTATGTAATACTGCAAAGCAACGTGTTAAGTTAATTTAGTCAAATAAATAACTATGATTTCTGTATTTTTTTAATATATATCACGAAATTTATCGTTATCGTCAGAATGCTCTGAAATATAACGATATTATATTTGAGATATATCGCCCACCCTAGATAGATGCATGCCTTACACTGTGTCCTGTGTCAAGGGCACAGTGTGAGAGAGATTTTTTTTTATACCTCTCTCCTCATGTTTTCTTCCCCTTTTCTTATCTAAGCGATAAGGGCAGCACTTCATAGAAGCTGCAGCCTCGGTACACTTCCCAGTGTTTCTCCTACCATTATACAGTGGGGAGAACAAGTATTTGATACACTGTTGATTTTTCAGGTTTTCCCACTTGCAAAGCTTGTAGATGACTGTAATTTTTATCATAGGTACTCTTCAACTGTGAGTGATGGAATCTAAAACAAAAATCCAGAAAAATACAATGTATGATTTTTAAATAATTAAATTCCATTTTATTGTGTGAAATAAGTATTTGATCATCTATCAACCAGTAAGAATTTTGGCTCTCACAGACATGTTAGTTCTTCTTTAAGAAGCCCTCCTGTTCTCCACTCATTACCTGTATTAACTGCACCTGTTTGGACCTGTATAAAAGACACCTGTCCACTCACTCAATCAATCAGACTCCAGCATCTCCACAATGCCCAAGACCAGAAAGCTGTATAAGGACATCAGGGATAAAATTGTAGACCTGCACAAGGCTGGGATGGGCTACAGGACAATAGGGAAGCAGCTTGGTGCGAAGGCAACAACAGTTGGTGCAATTATTAGAAAATGGAAGAAATACAAAATAACGGAAAATCTTCCTCGGTCTGGGGTGCCATGCAAGATCTCACCTCGTGGAGCATCATTGATCTTGAGGAAGGTGAGGAATGAGCCCAGAACTACACGGCAGGACCTGGTCATTGACCTGAATAGAGCTGGGACCACAGTCTCAAAGAAAACAATCAGTAACACTCTACGCCGTCAAGGATTAAAATCCTGCAGTGCACGCAAGGTGCCCTTCCTCAAGCCAACGCATGTCAAAGCCCGTCTGAAGTTTGCAAATGACCATCTGAATGATCCAGAGGAGGAATGGGAGAAGGTCATGTGGTCTGATGAGACAAAAATAGAACTTTTTGGTTTAAACTCCACTCGTCATGTTTGGAGGAAGAAGAATGATGAGTACAACCCCAAGAACACCAGCCCAACCGTGAAGCATGGCGGTGGAAACATCATTCTTTGGGGATGCTTTTCTGCAAAGGGGACAGGACGACTGCACCATATTGTGGGAAGGATGGATGGGGCCATGTATCGTGAGATTTTGGCCAACAACCTCCTTCCCTCAGTAAGAGCACTGAAGATGGGTCGTGGCTGGGTCTTCCAGCATGATAACGACCCAAAACGCACAGCCAGGACAACTAAAGAGTGGCTCCGTAGGAAACATCTTAAGGTCCTGGAGTGGCCTAGCCAGTCTCCAGACCTGAATCCCTTAGAAAATCTTTGGAGGGAGCTTAAAGTCCGTGTGGCCCAGCGACAGCCCCGAAACCTGAAGGCTCTGGAGGAAATCTCTATGGAGGAGTGGGCCAAAATCCCTGCTGCAGTGTGTGCAAACCTGGTCAAGAACTACAGGAAACGTCTGATCTCTGTAATTGCAAACAAAGGTTCCTGTACCAAATATTAAGTTTCATTTTTCTGGTGTATCAAATTTCACACAATTATTTCACACAATAAAATGGAAATTAATTATATAAAAATCATACATTGTATTTTTCTGGATTTTTGTTTTAGATTCCATCACTCACAGTTGAAGAGTACCTATGATAAAAATTACAGTCATCTACAAGCTTTGCAAGTGGGAAAACCTGAAAAATCAACAGTGTATCAAATACTTGTTCTCCCCACTGTACAAGTGGGGTGCCCTACTCTGTCAACAGAACTGAGCACCCCGCCTACCAAACCGAACTTGCCTCCCACCCAGCACTGACATAGCGCTAAGCTAGTGGCACGAATTACAGGCTCTGTAGCTAAACAGCTAAAGGCAGCGCTCACGTTGCCTTTTCTCTAAAGCTGAACACCCTCCCACACACACTCAAAAACTGTCTGTATAAACAGCTCACAACTCAAACGGGTCACGCTAAGCTAGCAGCATGCAATACAGGCGCTGTAGCTAAAAAGCTAAAGTTGCCTCTTCCATCATGCTGAATCCCCCCCCTGCTCAAAAACTGTTGGTACAAGCTGCACTCAGACATGTCTCCATCCCCCCGTCAACAAAAATCATGAATGAGATGAGCACCCCGCCATGGCAAGTTAACTAGAGGAAACACTGCTTCCGTCTACCCTTCAGACGGTTGTACAGAACATAATTTCGCTGTACTTAACTGTGCAATGACAATAAAGCTGATTCTGAAATTAATGTGCAGCTTAGTTTAATAAAGATTTTCCAGTTTGACGCTCTGTATTTCCTTTGCTTTCACTGAAACTTCTAAAGAAACTAAATAATTTGTGTAAAAATGTTGTGAAGATATTACCATCCAGATTCTATCAATATGGAATTCAATCACATTTATTAGTTACGATGGTCTTACGGACATTAATCTTCTTGTTTTATAGGTGCAGGGTTCAGTATAAAGTAATTCTAATTTGTTTTTTGTTTTTTACATTTTTATAATAATTCCTACAGAAACATTCGTTCCCTCCTTGCCTTTGTGGCAAGATGGCGCCTGTGTT